TATCTGAGAGAAATCAGGAGAGGCTGGGTAGGTTAGAGGCACAGGACAGACCCTGGTTACCCTCTTGATTCACTGTCAGCAGACGGCAGGGTGAATGAAGCCATCTGGGAACAGGAGTGCAACCATTGGAGCTACAACAGCTAACTTCTCTCTCTCCCTTTCTCTCTCTCCCTCTCTCCCTCTTTCTCTGTCTCTCTCTCCCTCTCTCACTCCCTCTCCCCTTTTCTTTATTTTTTATTTTTCTAGTAACCTCTTTACCCAACATGGGGCTTGAACCCATAACCCCGAGATCAAGAGTCACATACTCCTCTGACTGAGCCAGCCAGGCGCCCCTAACTTTTCTCTTTTTGATACGAACAGGTAAACACTGTGAGCAGAGTTGTAACCTTAATTATTAAAAATAGAATAATTAAATAATATTTTATAGAATTAAAATATTAATTACAGAATATCTCAGAATTAAAAACAGAATAATTAAAAGCTAAGTGGCTAGCTGGTCCTTGGGCAGAAACTCCAGAATCTCTGACAAAAGAGAAAGGTGCCTTCTTTGGACAAATGACTGAGTTGCCCTCTCAAACTCAGGAAATTGTTGAGAATGCGATGGAACTTCTCTCTTTAACGTCTATCCTATCAGGGTTCAATTTAGATTTGAAAAGATATAAAAGGGTTTACGCCATCTAAATGTTCCTTTCTTCCGTTTAAGAACTGACATGTTCCTAAAGTGACTTAAAAGTTTCCTTTTGAATCCTAAGGAGCCTCCACTTCTTCCAGAACAAAATACTCAAACTTAGCATCTACGGGATCTTGATTAATTAAGAATGTAATACTGTGTTTGTGTTTCTGGCTTAGAAACTAGGGTCTTTGTTTCTGCTGGACTCCCAGCTGGCAGAGACCAGAAGAGGAAAACACGAGGGTTAAATGAGCAGCCTGCCCAGAAATTGAGAGTGGGAGAAATCCCTTATTACCAAAGATGCTTGAGTGTCCAGGAGCCAAAACGACAGAAAAAGAATCTTTTGGCTAATTTACGGTTGGCTAGCTGCCACCATTTCTGGCTGGTGGCCAGAGGGCCTTGGGGGTTCGGGGGGAGGGATGGCAGGGTGCCATGGGAGAAGGTCAAGCACTTCATCGTTGAAGCTGCCTTTGGGTGTAGCTGCTCACTGGGAAACTGAAAACCTTTTGTCCAGCAAGCTTCCCAAGTGATTCCTTAGCACATGACATTTGCCAACCTTTACCTAACTGATCCCTTATCCAGTCTGCCAATCAAAGCAACCATGAAATTTGATCTACATCAAACGGGAACAGAAAACAAAGCACTTGCTCCAATCCTCTATGACTTGATATAGAAGGCTTCACTCAACAAATACCTGTCGGATGACATTAATGCTGTCCTCCATGCAGGGCAGTTTGTACGGGCTACTCCCGATTTGACTGGAAAATCATTTTTCCTGGTGAATTTCATTGTTATGTGAATTTCTAACTGCACAGAAGTCGCTAAACAGCAGAATTCCAAGTTAGAACTAAAGTAAAGGTTGTACAGCTTTGTAAATAACCTACACACTTAGATTCAAACCTCTCTTGAGACAGCTAAATGACCTCAGGTTAAGTGACAGTAAGAGCTCAACATCTGAGTGCCATGTCAACGTGAAGCTGCCACATAGCTGCCAGGACCATCAGACGTGCTACTTCTGAGAAGGAAAAGCATTCTCCGGTGTCATTTAGTGGGCTCTGTGATCGTTTTCCTCAAGATGAACAAAATAGGATGGGAGAATCCAGGGATTCCCAGATACACAGCAATCTGAGCTGTATATGAAAATTGTTAGACTGCTGATGCCCTTTCATCCCTGAGAATTGCTGGGATCTAAAAAGAAAAGCATCATAATTAAAAAATTATATTTGAATCAAATAAGCAATTCTGCATATATGAAAAGTAAAAAAAAAAAAAAAGTCACTGGCTTCAATATGTAAAAATTAGAAAGTGAGCTGTCCGAAATCTAACGATTAAAAATATCGAGTACATCCAAATTCAAGAAATACTAAATACGGAAGTGTGTGTTCTTCCCACCAGTCTGGAAGAGGATATGCATAAGACTTGGCATTTGATTTAGGAAGCTAACTCAGGAACATCATCCCTAATATTAAGAATACAGATCTAGGGACGCCTGGGTGGCTCAGATGGTTAAGCGTCTGCCTTCAGCCCAGGTCATGATCTCAGGGTCCTGGGATCCAGTCCCGCATCGGGCTCCCTGCTCAGCGGGGAGCCTGCTTCTCCCTCTCCCTCTGCCTGCCACTCCACCAGCTTGTGCTCTCTCTCTCTCTCACAAATAAATAAATAAAATCTTAAAAAAAAAAAAAAAAGGAATATAGGATCTAGGTCTTACTGGATAGCGCAAGTGTAAAATGAAAGATCTTTTACTCCCTTTAAAGTGTTCTCAATACAGTTTCATTTTTCTAATTCTTAATTGTGATGTCTTAAAAATTATAGGACTCAATTTTATACGTTCTGACAATAATGACCCTATAACCCCATTTTTCCTGGTCTAATACTTTAGTCCAAGCCTATCTCCTAAGCCTTGTTAGTGCTCACATTTGATCATTTTAAAAGCCTGCCATTGTCAAATAAGGTTGGGAAAAACTGGTTTAAGGGCATTACACCCTGATGCTCAAAATGTCAAAGAAACACCTGTTCGCAGCTCTAACATTTATTGTTCTTTTAATCAACTAAGGAAAAACAAAACAAAACCAAACAAAACAGTCAAGGCAGCAGGTACCAACCCAAAACAACTTAATACACTAATCAAAAAAACATGCTCACAAAAGAATCACAAAAAGAATTTTTCAGAACTTTTTAATATGGGTTACTGATCACTGCTGATGGGTTATTCTTACTCCATGAGTAATCAAAGCCCTTAAGCTCTGTTCATTAAAATTCCTTGTATATTCCTTCTATTTTTCATGCTTTATAGGAGTTGCTCATTCATAAGTAAGAAGGAAAAACAACATAGTGCAGAAAGTTCAGCACTGGATTTTAGGGAGGTTGAGCTGGGGATCGGCTCACCTGCTTACCGCTGGACAACTTGATAATATCTAACTTCTCAGAACTCCAGTTTCTAGATAATGTAGGACTAGATCAGGGGTCCTCAACCTTAGCACTATTGACATTTGGGGCCAGAGAATTCTCTGTTTGGTGGGAGAGGGCTGTCCTGTGCATGGTGAGACAGTTATTGGTAGCCCTGACCTCTACCCATTACATGCCAGTGGGAACCCCCAACTGTGATGATCAAAAATGTCTCTGGACTCCTGTCCCCAGGAGTGAGAAATCACCCCCAGTCGAGTATCACTGGACTAGGTATAGCCTCAATCTCTCTCTAGCTCTCATCTCCTACAAAACACATTAAATCTTATTTTCTTAAATGTTACTTGTTGAGACATTGGTCAACATGCCAATTGTGAGGATACACATTTTGATTTTTAGAGAAATTAAAATACAGTGACCATCTGTACCAATTCTAATTTTAGTAGGTTCCAAAATCTTTTAGGAATGAAAATTCACAAAAGAATATCAAAGCATATAGGATGGAAACAAATGTAAATGAAGTATATCTCAATAATATTTTCATCCCATTTTCTAGGGTACTTCGACTGGGTAACAGAGATAAAGAACACATTTAATATACCCTTCTTATCTAGTTCTACCATATGTGTACTCTTAGAAAACAAAGGGCCTTGTAATACCAGGAGCAATTTAAAGCACCTGACTTTTAGGAAGAAAGACACTTAAAGCTACTAACAATCCTTTTAAAATATTTTTTAATAAGCACGTTAGAAAAAAAAAAGTTTACACCATCTTAACACCTGTTTTTACTCCAAATTCACAGAACAGTTAAACAACTTACAACCTATATCTGGTATTAAATGTGCTGTGAAGTCATACATGTGTATACTTTATGGGGAAAATAAATCACGTATTCCATTTCCCTCGAGAACTATCATTATTTTACCAAGCGTTTTCTTCAGTGAAATTAGTTGTAACTGCCTAGAAGCCAGGCCCCCTTTCACAACTGACATTCCTGACACTACACCCGAGAGGATCATGATGACCTAAGTAACCCCTTCTCGGCAGCAGGTCATTTTTTTTTTGTTGAAAAGGTTAACTTCATAATTCACATGAAAGTATAGCAGACTTGTCAAAAGATTTTGCCTGCATTCCCCAAATTTAAAACTTATACTGGAGAAGGGACGTCTTCAGAGAAAATTAAAGGCCCCATGCTCCCATGATTCTAAAATGACAGAACAATTGTTATATTCATAAAACCTCTAAATATAAAGGAAACTGAAATGTAAAACAAATATATTCCTCTTTTTAAAAAGAGACACAAGCACAAAGAATACCAAAGTACATGCCTGTGAGGAACATCTAGTCCTTTCCTTGACTGATGAGGCCAAGGAGGCTGAAAAGCAAGTCCCAAATATCGACATATGACAGAGGAGAACGTGTCTCCTCCCCCACACCCGCCCTAGTTCTCCTTCGTGAATCCAGTGTATTAAAGCGCCTGGTTAAACGATCTCGATGATGTTTACGTAAGAAAACAAATAAGCGGTTATATTCGTTTTCCCAAGCTGCTGGGACAGGCCACTGTTGTGGTGTACGGGAATGAACACAGTAATGGAAAAACATCAACTCCCATGAAAAGGCAGATGTTTGGGCCCGTAGAGTAATTCACCAAGTCCTCTGCTATTCTTTCTCACCTAAGTTTCTTCCAATAAGTGGACCAAAATATAGCCTTATGAATCACAGCCCAGCAACGTCCACATCAGTACAGAAGAGTGTGAAATAAAAACATATGTTGAGGGGCGCCTGGGTGGCTCAGTGGGTTAGGGAACCGACTCCTGGTTTTGGCTCAAGTCACAATCTCATGATCGTGGGATCGAGCCCCGCGTCAGACTCCGAGCTCAGCAAGGAGTCTCCTGGGGTTTCTCTCTCCCTCTGCCCCTCCCCACACTCACTCTCTCTCTCTCTCTCTCTCAAATGAATGAATAAATCTTTAAAAAAAAATATGCTTAACCTGACATACCAAAGTCTTATGTGACTAAAACACAAACATACAGAGAAGGACAATAATAATGAGGACAGGTTCCATAGGAACTGTGGAATCTGTCTCATTATATAAATGAAAGGATGTGTAGTATTCAACATAAAATCACATACCCTAAAAAAATCATCTACCATTTGAATTGCCTGCTCCTACCCAAGGCTTCCCTAGGACACGCCTAGTTTCAATGGTTGCTCCCAGGCAAAGGAGCCCTTGCTTAAAAAGACTAAAGCTGATATTTGGTGTGCAATGTGTCAATGAGGTTAGACCATCTATTTTCAGTTTTCAAACAACCCTTACTATTTTGTGCCATCAAAGGAACAAGGAAGGAGAACAGTGGTTTATGGTGCTATACTCACGCATCTGGATTATCTGCAGTGCAAAAGAGCTCTCTCTCTCTCTCTCTCCTTTTTTTTAATAGCATGGTCCCTTATTATACAGTTCCTTCTTTTTAATATCAAGTAGCATTCAGCATCACAACATTAGGTCAGTAACCCGCAATTCTTCAAATTCTTCCTTCTGACGGGATTTAAAATGCTTCTCGGCCACGGCAGAGTATTGGTACCACAGGCAAGGACAGCCTCATTTCGAAGCGTAGGCTGCCACCTACTGACCGTGATCCAGTCTCTCTCAACATTCAGCTCCTCCCCAGAAAGCTAATCAATTCCTTGCAAGATGTTCTTTGCTATGTCATTTAATGCCATGTATTCAACGAGATCAATATAATCTTTTAAATACAAGTGCTTTCAACTTCAAAAAAATACTAAGTGGACAGGATTCTGTACAGCTAAACATCCCTGGCCTGCACTCAAAAGGGCAGAGAATTGTTTTTAAAAGATATATGCTATTTTTTTAAATATGGGAAAAGTTCTATTTTAATAGATTTCTCTTCACCACTTCCTTTATTCTTCACTCCTGAAGACTCACGTTCACTCGGTCTCATTAGAGAGAGTTGATTTAATTTTTCATATTGATCAACCTGGAATTATTCAAAACTTCAATTCATAGTCCTAAAGCGCTTGTTAAAAAAAAAATTCACAGCAGCTGACAATAAAGCTAAAAGTTAGCGCTTAATTAGCTCAGCCCCGTGTCATAGAGACCTAAATCTGCAGGTGCCTCGATGAGTAGAGGACTTTTTCAAGTGAGAGTTTCTTGCTGTTTTAAGGAAAAAATCAGACCAACCAAAAGTCATTAAAAGGAAATAAGGAAATCGCCTTTCTGAGGCAGTGGGCCATTGTCTCGGTGAGAGAGTGAAGGGTAAGTTCACTCAACAACATCCACTTCATAAGTACTGCCAGACACTATATTAGGAGCTCGGGACGCAAAGATGACTTAAAATATCTGTGGCCTTCCAGAAGCTGTCTGGTGCAGAGATGTGGGTGGAGAGACAATGACACTGCAGCCTGCACTATGTAAAAGGTATAAAATCTGAGCAGTGAAAACTACTGCCTGGGTCTGCTTGGAGAGTCAGGAAGAGCTTTATAGAGGAACCTTCTGAAGGCAAAAGCGGAGCTTACCAGGGAATCGGATGAGAGAGAGAGATCCAAATGGCATGTGCAAAGGACGAGAGAAGGGGAAAAAAGCAGAGGCTTAGGGAAAACATCTAGCGATTCAATATTGGTAAAGAATAAATTGAATGAGGCCAGATAGGTAGAGATAGAGGACAGATCTCAGAGTCTTTTGTATAACCTGTCACGAAATGTGCCTTGTAGAACGGTCACACTGGCGGCCAGGTGGGGCCTGGAGGGAGGCAGATTGCTAAGAACAGCGGTGAAACCGCCCAAGCAAAGATGATTAAGGATCTGAAGGCAGACCAGGGAGGTGAGAATGGAAAGGAGAGGTCACTTTAGAGACAAACTGTGAAGATGACTGGGGGTGAAGAATGGGAAAGGAGGAAGAGACTCAGATCCCGCCCCCCGGTTTCTGGCTCAGGTAACTGAACGGATAGTGGCGTATTCACCGAGATAGCGAGTGCAGTGGTCACTGTGGATTTGATGGGTGGAGATAATGCACTCCGCAGAGTTTGAAAATAAGAATTTGGAAATGCTGCGTTTGAAGTGACTGGAACACCGAGGTGATGATGTGCCGTGGTATAATGAGAACACAGATGTGAAGCTCAAGCCGGAGCTCTACACTGGATTTAGAAATTCGCCAGTCCCCAGTGAGCAGCAGGGGACAGGGATGAAATGCCCCAGACAGAATGGGTGCAGTCGGAAGAGCACCACTGATGAGAACCTGGGCAGGCAGCCAACAGAAGCCTCGCCAGCCTCAACGAGCGCTCGGCACGCTACCACACTGGTGAGGGCAAGACAGGGAGAGCGAGGCTAGAAAGTGCGCAGCCACACAGCTACACCAGACGTACACAAGCCTACATGGCTCAAGTATAATTCAACCTCTGGTTTCCAATTCCACCCGTGAGGAGCTTGGAAGTAGCCACTCTGACCTAACAGCAAGTCAAAAGCCAAAGAGACTGAAAAATGAACAACTCTTCTTGGACCCGAGAGAGAGAGGACAGAGAGCAAACTGCTGTCCTCGAGACTGAAGAGAGAGACGGAGGAATACGGGGAATCTTGACTTACCAGAGCTGAGACTGAGGAGTAAAAACCACTGCGAGAGCCAGTGCCAGGGAAGGAAAACTTGAACTGTAACTGAGGAGTCTCTGGAGGCTCAGTGTGAACAAGCCTGAGAGTTAAAAACTCCAGGGATCCAGTCCTAGGGAGGCCTCCCCAATATTGTGAGGCTTACCTCCAGGAGCTCGACCGGGTTCCTAGGATAAACACGGGAGAAAAATCCCCTCTTGCTTCCAGCTGGGGAAGCAGGCAAGGAACCATTTTGAAATATGCCAGAGCACTGCCTTCTTAAAAAGGCCTGACATCAAGGGAAACCTGGGTATTTACTGTCAGAGTATAATTGACCTGGGGGAAGGACAATGCCCAACTCCAGTCAGCAACAGCCCTCCTGTCCCACCTGAGAGAGAGAAAAAAACACCTATGAAGTTCACAGTCCAGAGGCATAGGCTCAATAAAGGACTGAGACCTAATCACAGGACTACAGAATGCTCTCCTTCCCCAAACACCTCACCACCACATCCCTAAAGGCCGATTTACAGGAGTTCTTTCACCCAGTGCATCATGTCCATCTAGCGAGAGAAAATTACAAGGCACACCAAAAGGCAAAATCACAGTTTGAAGAGACAGAGCAAGCATCAGAACCAGACAGGGCAGGGATTGGAATTAGCAGACCAGGGATTTAAAACAACTATGATGAATATGTGAAGGGTTCCAATGGATAAAGTAGACAACGTGCAACAACAGGTGGGCAACATAAGCGGAGCCGAAAATCAGAGGAAGAAAACAAAAGTATAGTTCTATGTTTTAAACATTAGTTAATATATGCAAACATATTCAGATATATTCAAATATGGTCTAGAAATGTGTAAACCAAGAGGGGTACCATGGTTTTCTCTAGGTAATCTTTGGAAGTATGGATAATTTTATGTTCTCCTTTCTGCTTTTCTATATTTTCCAAATTTTCTTCAATGCATATGCATTGCTTCTGAAATCAAATATATATAAAGACTTTTCAATTTTTTTTAAAGTGCTAAAGTTTGTAGGCACCTGAATTAGCTGGAACTGAGACAGTGTGAGACAGTAGAGATTGGCCCAACTATCTCAATCTCTAAACAGCTGTTAGAAAGAGACAGGAGAAAGCAGAGGGACAGGACTCAGAAAATCAACCTGCCATAAAGAGAAGAGAACTTCCTGGTAGCGAGGTGGAACATGGTGCCATGACGTCCTGGATTCAAATATAACACAACCTCAGAGAAGAGTGGAAAAAAGAAGAACAACAATTAGGGAAAAAAAAATCGGAGAGACTCTCCCCCTTACTCGCATGCACCCGTGAGCTTTAGAGAGCAGTGGCAAAGGTAAAAAGAAAGGTAGACACCAACTCCTCCCCCTAAACTTAAGCATTTTGCTGACTTCCAGTTTAGGTAAGACTGAAAGAAGAAACGAAAAGTCAAATCACCTCAAAGCCACCCCTAACAGTAAGGAGCTGAAATATATTCCTTACACAGCAAGTCAGGAGGGAGGATGCTGGGATGGGCCAAAATGCACTGTCTGAAGTCTGAGTCAAATGAAATGAGTAAAAGCAGTAGGTAGAAATCAATCACATGCCAAGCAAAAGCCAAGAGATCAGCTGAGGTAAGACGTGTGGAAGGATAATGGGATGGCGAATTTTTTTTTTCTTTTTTTGGAAGAGGGAATGGTAAATTTCACGTGTCAACTCAGCTAGATGATGGTGCCCAGTTGTTTGGTCAAATAGTATAGATATTGCTGTGAAAGTATTCTTTAGATGTGATTAACATTTAAATCACTAGACTTTTAGGAAAGCAGATGGCCCTTCATAATATGGATGAGCTTCACCCAATCATTTAAAGGCCTTAGGAAAAAAGACAGGTTTCCCCAATAAGAAGAATTTCGGCCTGAAGACTGCAACGTAGAAACCCTGCCTGGGTTTCTAGCTTGCTGGCTTGCCCTACAGATTTCAGACTTGCCAGCCCCCCTCATTATGTAAGCCAATTCCTTAAAAAAGAAATCTCTCTCTCTTTCTCAATATAGATATAGGTGTAGACATAGATATATAGAGAGAGGGATGCATATAAATACAAATAGATATAGATGAATATATAATACACATACATATATACACATATACATAGCTACAAATATATATATATATATATATATATATATCCTAATGCTTCTAATTCTCTGGAGAACCCTGACTAATACAGGTAATAAAAGATGAAATCTATTAAGAGAGACCAGTAGGGCAGAATCTTGAACTAGAGACACTGGAATCAAAATTGGGTAAGGTAGGCAGTAGTAAGAGATCAAAGCTTCCTGGATTTGAATGACATGAAAAACAATACATTTAATGAAGATGATTTTGGCATCTATAATATGTGTGATCTGAACCAGATCAGAGAGATACTACAATTAGAACACATCAGGAGAAATCTAGGCCAAAGGATTCTGTGGATGGCTATGGAAATGGAAAACTAAACCAAACAACAAAAATAAAAACAAAAACCAACATCTATACAATAAGGATATGGCAAACAATGGAACAGGCATCTTTTGTATCTTCAAGATATTTAAGGAAAAGTTATACAGGAATACTATTCATATATAAAGATGGTGACTTACCATACTTGTCTCGCAAGCCAACCGTACATCTAAAGACTCCTCCAAAGGCGACATCTTCACCAAATATTACTGAAAAACAATATTTAAAGAACATGTTTTATTTAATAACCCTTAAGTGATACTGACAACAAAAAATAGGTAATTTAAATGTTTACACTTTAAATCAGAAAACAGAAATGAATCCGAGGTTTATCAAGGTTTCTCAACTTCAACATTACTGACAGTTTGGACTGAATAATTCTTTTATTGTAGCAGCCTGTTCTGTGCATTGCAGACATAGAGCAGCATCCCTGGTCTCTACCCCGTGGATGACAGTTGCGCCCCCCGCCCCAAAACGCGCGCGCGCACACACACACACACACACACACAGTTGTGACAGCTAAAAGTGTCTCCAGAAGTCGTTAAACATAAAGGAAGAAGGGGGATTACAATCACCCCAACTGACGAAGAACCACTGATCTAGAACGTCATCTTGTTTTACCCATGAAGACAACGAGGCCAGAGCAGTAGTAAAGTAACTTGACCAGTAGGAAAGCAAGGGGCAGAACTATGACGCACACTCCAAGCTCAAGTACCCCACCAGTGGTTCTCTTTCTTACAGGGTCTACAGTGAAAGAAAACAATCTGAAGGGCTGAGGGAAAAGCATTCCAAGGTGAGAGAACAGTCCAAAGTAGGAAAAGAACCTAAATTGTGTGAAAGGAGGCAAGAATGGTGGGAGATAGCGAGCAAGGCAATGACAATAAAAATGGGTGTTCATAGAGCTGAATTTATTAACTCCCCTAACCAGCTTTGTGGACCTTAAGAAAACAATTCACCCTTCTTTACTCTTGAGATCATTCTCAGATGACATTCAAACAAAGCAAGATCTCGTCATCCACTAGTGTAGCTCTCACTTCCTCCTAACAAATAACCTCTACTTTGCTTGACCTTAAAACCAGGGATTCTCAAGTGGAAGCCCAAGGTATACTAAATATATATATTTATATATACTAATACATATATATATGAAGTAAAGCCAACCAAATTTAGAAAACATACAGCAGAACAACGGTTTTTATACCAATAATTAAATTTGATAAGATAAAGTTATTTACAAATATAAAAGTTATTTCAAAAAAATCTTGTAAGTGGGATGACAATGTATCTCAAAGGAAAGCGTGGAATCAAATCTTCATTTCATAAACAGATTCATAAATCTGAATGAAGTGGTACCTCCCATTTTTTTCTATATACTGGAGAAACAGAAGTACACAGTAGGTATTAATCCAGAAAGTATTACTATAACATCAGGACCACACATACTATGGGAGAAAGTTGACTTGATGATGTTAGATATACATGAGAACTAATTCATAATGAACTGATTTTAAAAAATGCGTTAATACCATAATCTGATTATTTAACCTTAATCATTTGATCAGATCTTTTAAAAAATTTCAGGGAGACGTAATGTTAACCATTGAGCTTCAGACGCAATATTTCCAGCAAATTTTCAATTCTGAATTAACACAGCTACCACACTCACGCACAAAGGAAGTTTACCTGCAGTAGGATCTTTAGCCAATGAGTTATCCAAGGCACTTGTTATCGCCTGGAAAAGATTCATTTTCTGAGTTTGCCCTGTGAAAATTTAAAGAAAAAAAATTTTAAGTAACATTCCTACATTGTAAGATGTATAAAAAAATAATTAGTTTTTTAACAGTTGATTAAAACATAATTAAAATCAAAGTAGAAAGATACAGAATACACTGTGTGAATTTATTGGATTATTCACAATGAGGCTGGTTTTGTGGAAAGTACAAAAGCAATATAGACTTCTGCGCTTGATGATGAAGCAAAATTTACACATATTAAGCAATTAAAAAACAAGTATAAAAAAGGAAAAAGGAATTTAATCAAGTCACCAAATGTGTATAGACAATAAATAAAAGTGATGGGAAGTCGGAAAAGGGAACCAGCCAGAGTAAAAGTGGTCTGGGAAGACACTCGGGACAGGGGTTAAATACATCATAAAAAGTGCACATGACCCGAGGCACATGTTAAATATGCCAGTAACAGCAAATAGTCATGGGCCATAAAACAATGAGGGAGGAAGGCTAATGATAAACTTTAGCACTCAGAACTTGCTGATGTTTGGAGAGTACTATAAGCCCATGCCTCGACACACCAGACTTAGTAATTCCTACTGTCTTACTGCTCAAGTATTATCTCTGCAAGCCAACCTCTGGCTCCCTAAATAGGCTGATAGGAGGGTGAAATGGAACAATACATGGAAAGCACTTAGAACAGTACCTGACACAGTGAGTGCTAAATAAATAGGAGCTATTTATTATTAGAATCTGGGCTTTGCCCATGTCCTTCATCTTGACCTTGGTATTATCTTGAATGGTATAAAACTTTATTTAATAAAGTTCCAAATGTTATAATTCAGGAACATCATTACTTTAGAGCTTTCAGTCTTGGTGCTGCCCAGACCTTGAGGTCAGCTCCTCTCCAAAAACACTCTTCAGGGCAGAGAAAAGCTTCTGCCTGAATCTTCTCTGATCCACAGGCCATCTTCACTTTAGTGCCTGATCTGTGCACCAGTGTTCACTCTAACCCACAGCCATGCTGGTAGCAAATCCCTTGAACACCTGCTAATTACCCTGACTACGGTCCCATCTACCCTCTGTGTTCCTCCCTGACTACGGTCCCATCTAACCTCTGTGTTCCTCGGTAGCCTGGTGTGTCCCAAAAGCCACGGCCTAATTCACAGTGTGGGTCACAACGGTGCCATCAACACTCCGGCTGTCGCACACGCTGGCCACTCACGCTTATCCTGGAGACCCATCTTCGTCCCAAGCCCAGCCTGGATCCACAGCACGCTCTGATTTATGACATCACCCATCATCCACTGATACTCAACCTTCTTACTCGCTACCTGCTCTGACCCCTTCCACACTGCCGAATGCCCGGGCTTCAGGTCCAGGCAATACCCACTCGGATCTGCCCTGCTGCCCTCTCTGCCAAAAATAAAGGCCGTTTCTACTCTTATTTTTGATGGGGATAATAGGAATTCATTTCAGAAAGTATTGTTATGGCATGCATGCCAAAGGATACATAATCACACCACATGTCCATGACTTCATAATCTATTTTTCTTCAGGCTAAGGCTGTATCATTTAATAGATACTTGCCTTAAATCCTTCTCCGCTGTATAAAACCTCTTTAAAAGTGCTTATTGGTACGCAGCATCAGATGACAATGGTTTAGGGCAACCTTCTATCCCACCACCATGACATTCCCGTTCTTTCTCCCATTTCACACATTTCCTAAAGCAAGATTTTTGTCTATTATGATGTTCATAGCTAAGAACCTAAGAAGGACAAAAATGCCTAAACATCTAAAGTGGCATTTATTTCAAGTGTGCTGACCATCTGAATTAATCCTGAAGGCCTCCAAGACATCTTATTTCATTGCTGTTCAACAAGTTTGGAGTACAAAAAAAGCAAATACTTTAATAATAAAAATCATACCAAGTAAATCTGGAAGGTATTGCTTAATTACCCACAAAGAATCTACTCATCTTGTAGGAAAGTAATTTATAAGTATGGGTATTTAAAGGCTTTATTTCCATGTAAGCACAAAAATTTCCACTCCTGAATACTTTTTTTCAAATAGATGCAAAATTTTAGGGGTTTGGACTAACTGCTATGCTACTAGATGCTTTTAAAAGATTAAATAATTTTTATTAGAGCAACAGCTATCTTTCAATTATTTTTAAAGTTGCAGTGTAGTCTGTGAATGAGTGAGGAAGAAATCACAAATTATTCACAGGTGAGATCACTTTAAATATTCACCTTAGAATTACTTATTCTCCTACAGGTTATATTAAAGATCATTGATAAGATACGCCTATGTTCTCTCATGATAAAGTATGTACCTGTAGCACGTCTAACTATGAACACTAAAAAATTATTAAACACTGTTGCCAAATCATACAATTACCAGTATTAATAAATGGCTGCTAAATTTCAAAACCAGACTGACAACTCTTCTTTCCAGGATAAAAAGTTAAAACAAGACAAAAATGGACACAGCAGTGCAATTTCTCTAGTCAGGGATACCAGCTAATGGATACCCATTGATAAAACATAGCTTTATGGATGGAGTGAGCCGATCACTTGAACCTATCCTAAGTAGACCATTGTGAAAAACCAGGTCATTATCACTGCTGCAAAGATAAAGTGGTACGTAATGTAGTGTCGGTGGAATATAAGGAACACAATAGAACAGAAGCCCCAAGAGGGCAGGGATTCTTACCTGCTTTTGATCAGAAGTATATGCTTAGTGCTTATAACAATGCCTGACATATAGTAGGTGCTCAATAAATATTTGTTGAATGAATGACTGAACAAAGAAACATATGAGGCTAGTTCAATAAAGATAAAATATACAAAGTAAATTGTTAATCAACCACTTAAAGAGGAAGAAATACAGTAGGAAAAAATATCTACCAATGTTACAATTCAGAGTCAGACTGCAGGGGAGCAGGAATGAGGCAGAAGTGATACTGAGGTGGAGAATTCAGTTATTCTGAATAACTCTTCAGTATGCAGTAGCATTGAAGGGAGAAGCCTTCCACAGAACTAGAGGATCAAGACAAAACGGGCAAATGGGTGCCCAAGAAGCAGTGTCTAGAAATAAACAAGGTCAACAGCAGGGCAGGTAGACAGTTAAGTGCGTTTGTAGTTAGACCATGAACAAATAAAAATACACAGCTGTGATATGGAAAGTGAGGGTCTACTTTCAGAAACCGAAGGTTCTGCCAGCACATTCAGCACTGGCCCTTCTCTGAGCTGCCTAGTCCTTGGTATACACCTGGATAGCATAGCATTTTCACGTCATATTCCTTAGAAAGCTCAGCACTTAGTGCCTAACCCACACATGACAATCAGGATATGCCCACTGAAGCATGATGGAGGAATGATTTTAGTGGCATAATCGGGCACTAACCACACGGTGAAATGGAAAGATGCCTAAGAAACTACCTATTTTCTCCCAGCAAAACCTCTTCTACCCCACTCCAGATGCCCTGTCCTCCGGGAATCCCTTTGTATGGGCCACATATGTACTTCTATCCATTCTGATCCCTATTACAGTGTTTCCCAACCTCTACCCCATAAAGTAAGTTTCATAGAGAATTCAAATATGAGGGACAGAACATTTTGTATTAAAATATAAATGAAGGATCTATAATCATAAATGCCTTTTTAAAGTGCCCGTAAAGAAGGGGAATGGGGAGACTGCCACCTGAGGCCAAGATTGGGAAGACCTAAGAAAGCTTTAAAGTTGAAGAGACTATGGCTAGGAGCCCTGGGTCTCCCATCTCAGGGCACCTGGTAACTTATGTCATGGTATGACAAGCTACAGCTGTTTCCCTTCCTTGGCTGGATACTTCCCTACTCGGTCGGTCTCTAAATGGTTTTTAAATTCTTCTGTATGCTGGTGACTCCCAAATGCGTTTCTCCAATCCAGACCTCTCCTCTGAGCTTCTGACTTACATCCAACAGTCGCCAGTTCCCAACTTGGGTGCCGGGCTTTTCTAACTCAGTAAGCACTCAGCTAAACTCTTGATGTCTGCTCCCAAAACCAGTCTTTTCCATCTTAGCAAACAGCACTATCCTCAACTCAAGTGTCCAAGCCAGAAATTGAGAAAGCACCCTTGAATGTCTTCCTTTGATTCGTTTCTTGTATCCAATCCATCCAATCCTACTTCCAAAATAGAGCTTCTTCCGAAGACATATACTTTGGATATATCTTTGGATACATATTACTTCCAAAATATAGCTTAAAATCTAGTGCTACAGTGTCCGAATTCCAGAACTCACCATCTCTTTCCTGTTCCTGAAAACCACCTCCTGATGTCTTGTCTTAACCAGCTCTAGCTGCTATAGCAAACACCACAGACTGAGTGGCTTAAACAAAAGAAACTTATTTCTCACTCTTCTGGAGGTTGGGAAGTCCAAGACCACGGTGAGTCCCTGATGAAGACCCTCTTCCTAGTTTGCAGAAGGCCATCTTCTTGCTGTATCCTTACATGGTGGAAGAGAGAATCTCTCTTGTGTCTCTTCTTCTAAGGGCTTTAATCCCATTCATGAAGGCTCCACCCTCATGACCTAATTACCTCCCAGTGACCGCCATCTCCAAATGCAACCACACTGGGGATTAGGGTTTCAACATAAGAATGAATGACGGGATGGGGAAGACACATTCAGTCCATAGTACCACCTCCTCACTTCTACCCCTTCACCACTCATTCATCAAAGCGCTACTACAATAAGTCCTAAAAAGCACTGCATTTCATGTTACTCCTCTGCTCAAAATCCAAGTTCTCTGACTGCACCCGGAATAAAGCCCCACTCCAAACCATGTCCACAAAGCCCTGCTTGATCTCATACCTGCCCACCTCAGAAGTCCTATGGTGTACCACTATCCCCAAGGCTCAGCACCTGACTCTTCTCTCAATTCCCCCAAACCAAGCTCCCTGCAACATCAGGACCTTCATGCACACTGGGTTCTGCCTGGCACCCCCTTCACACCTCTTTGGATACTCCTTCGTGATCACTTAGAGCCTAGTT